GTGTACCTGATACATAACAGAACATTATAAGTTCTGGCATGGAAACATCAGGTCTGGATTTTATCACCACTTCTCTCATTATAGCCAAGATGAACATTAGTTAGTTATATGGCATTTATATTTTAGTGTAACAGGTTGTTTTATTGGTTTTGAAATTATGTATGCTGCAGTAAAATATTCAGCGATGTAGATTAATCCTCAGATGTTGAGATGGTGTTTAAAGAAATTGGTACACGTTTGTTTCTACTGTTTCAGATTTAAGAAAGTCACATTTTCTGTTCAACATTTTGCTCACTTTCCACCCTCTGCTTTCCCAACGACAGGCATGTCGTTGAATGTCCGTCGAAGCAGCGACCCCTCCGTGGCTGACATCCCTCCAGGAGAGGTCATGATTGGTCAAGAGGAACCATCGAGGAGGAATCCGGCTCGCTGGTCCACAACACCTGGTTTCCAGAAGTACAGCGTTATGCCAAACACACAGGGTGCCACGGGCACCATAGAACAGGTAAGTAAAAAAAATGATAGTACTGACTGTTTAAACAGAGGTAACTTCATTCATTCACTAGCTCAGCATTCACTAGCTCAGCAGAAACGACATCAAACTGAGTTTATATTAAAAGCTTAACTTTGGATCATTGCTTCAATTAGATCTTGTTAGTTCATTTAATACTTTTAAAATCTTGCCAGTACCTTGTTAACCACTGTGCACCAGATGTGCTCAAATTGTTTCAAATCGACCTTTATGATGACAGATGAGTTCAGAGAGCTCTCCTGCCTTCCTGCAGTCTCCCTCATTTCCATCCGTTTCTCTTCCAACTACCTAAATCAAAAGAATAACTGTTAAAGACTGAAACACTGCCTGTAGTGGCACGGGAAGTCCTTATCTGAGAGGGGCTTCTTCTGATGGCACCTCTTTTATCCATAAAAGGCCAGGATTTGTTAAACACATTCAGCTGCTTTTTAGATCTGTAGCTCCTGTATCTCCTTCCTGCAGCGTCCAAAGGGGACGTGAAGCCAATTAACATCTTAAAGCAGCTCGCTCTCTCCAAGGTCATGGCAGACCTTTACTTCTGATAGAAAATGAGATATGTTACCAATCAAAACAGGAATAAATGAGAATCTGGGAATTGAGAAAGCCACTTCAGAAGTGATCAGGGTGTCCTGAAGCAGGGGCTAATTCTATTCACACATTTTAATTGTTACAGCTATCATCGTCACTATCAAAAATTGGTATCATGTCTAGCTTGGCTTAATGTAGGTATTTGGTCTTTCATTCAAACTGACTTAGACTTAGACAACCTTTATCGTCATTTCGTATGCACAGAGTGTTTACAAAACGGAATTTTGTTTTTTTACAGCTTTCATGACATTTCAACTGTTAGAATGTTCAAAATTTGTTTTATCTTTCTTGTCGCTTGTGTCTGTAAGTACAATTGTTAACAGTTCTTGAATAGATGTCTTTTGCAAACGCCTCGTTCTATCCAACATGTATCTAATGAGGATAAGATAACGGCAGGAGATGAGGAAATATTGTTTATTCTCAATCAAAGGCTTTCCTAAATTTATAGAAACATTTTTAAACAGCAGTTTGAAAGGTTAGGTTATTTGATAGGTTAGGTTATTTGTATGATTTTAATCAGTGTAGAACGAGCCATGTCATTCATAACCAGTCTAAATATTTTAGATTTTAAACTAGAGATGGTCAAATACTGACTAATACAGTAGGTCTATATGACTTTGATTAGGATTTAGATGTGACACATTTCATTACTAAGACAGCAACCCTACCGGTATCGGCCTTAAAACTGAATACCGGACATCGGCCACCCCACCGATATTTAACCCGATATTTGATCAGCTTCTGAGTTTCTAAAGTCTAAAAAAAAAAAAAAATACTACTTCTTCTTCTTCCTCAAAAACTTCTTTTTTACAGACTTAAAAACTTCTAAAGACGAGGGAAAAAATATTGATACATTAAAATATCCCAATATCTTCATATGCTGATATATTGCCATTTAAAAACACCATATCAATCTCTTTTACTAATGAAATATTGCTATATGTCATCGTTATGCTACGGAATCCCCCGAAAATTCACAAATTTTGCCATATTTTTATATGTTGATATATTGACGCGGTATCGATCTATTTTACTAACAAAATATCACAAGAATTTGCAAAATATCACAAGAGTTTGTAACAGAACGATGAAATTTCACGAGATTTTGAAAGTAAAATAGATCGATACCGCGTTTTTAAAAATCAATTTGATATCAGCATATGAAAATATATTTGAGTATATTATTTTTCAGAGTGTCAGAAATGGATAACAAAACTTCTATTTTCAATGACTACTTATTTTTTTTCCAGCTTTAACATCGGTATCGATATCGGTTATCGGCTACATGAGTTTTAAAATATCGGCATATCGAATATCGGCCAAAATCCCAATATCGTGCATCCGTAATATTTTTTCTTATAAGAATAAGAATATAGACAGTATCCCCCCAAAATAGAGTGAGAACGACAGTTTAGTTTTGTTCTTCCATTTGTTACCTTCTTTTAATTGTAAAATAAAAGAAAGGTTAGGTTATCTTTTCAATCTCCTCTCTCAACATTGGCTGGCTCTATTTCTTTGTTGTCTTTTTTTATTTTTATTTAACCAGGAAAAAAAAAATCCCATTGAGATTAAAAACCTTTTTCAAGGGAGTCCTGGCCAAGAGGCAGCAAAGTTACATAAAAAAACATAGATACAGTCTTAATAGCTATGCTACCTGAAGTAAGGCTTTTTAAGAATAATTCTTTATTAATTTATTACTTTTGTCAGCTCCTGTATTCAGGGGTCGCCACTTACAACTTGCTCACACATCTTTGGTCAAACCTCTATCAACCTGTTGTTATAAACAGTTTCTTTGACACTTGGTCTTTATTAATAAATTATTCTAAATGTGATGGTTATATTTAGGGCTGCAACTAACGCTTATTTTGCAAATCGATTCATCTCTCGATTTTGTTTTTTCATTTAATCGATTAATAATCAGATTGCTATCGCCCAAAGAAGATATGAAATTAAACCAGGTTAAACAAAAAAAAAAAAATCCACTTGAGTCTTTCTGGATAAAGCATATTGACAGAAAAGAAAGTTCTTTTTTTTATATTAAATGCTAAATGTTTACTTTTTTTTTTTTCCAATTTTGATGTAGCTGCTCTAAGTGGGTTTCTATGTGAGCTAAAGACATATTTTACAATCTCTATACTCCAGTTAATGATTAATCAATTACTAAATTAGTTGGTAATTATTTCAATAATCGATTAATCACTATTAATCTGCTTAATTGTTTCAGCCCTATTTATATTATAACCAACCTCCAAAAACTAGAGCTACAGCACTCACCAAAAATGTTAGAGACAAGAGGAAGAGTAAAACTGTGGTCTGGAGGTTAGCGATCTACTTGCTCATATGGTAAACTTTAAACACAACACCTTGAACAATTAGAGGCTTACTTAATAGTTTTTAGAACAATACTCTTAAATAGGACATTCGTGAATGCTTATTCTTGCCAAAATACATTTAAATAGATCTACTTACACACAAAAAAGCACAATGTTTTTCCACTTTCTTGATTTATGTGATTTGATTTCTTTTCCCGAAATGTCAAACATCCCCATGCAGCTGAGTCTGATTTTATGAAGCCAACAGAAGTTCTCAGTCAACAGCTAAAAGCGTAAACTCATCACATCCCAGTTGCTTCACAATACTTTATAGCATTTCTTTATAGTCGGCAAACAAGAATAAACAGCCCGTGCTTCTGCGTGCAAGCTGGATCAATCCTGCTCCTTCACATTTGGCTTTCTCTGCATTTTATGATATATGTCGTAAAAGTTTGTGAACAGGATTCAGTTGTTCCTCTGCGGCTAAAACTGTAATGGTTATTAAGGCTGTCTCCCTATCAGACTCTACATGGTCAGTTGAATTTTATGGTCCTGTCTGCATTGCTTCCTCAGGCCCCCGTCATGGCACATTGAGCTTTGCTGAAAACATGTGTTTTATTAAAGCATGCAAGAGTCAGGAGTCTGATTTCTTTATTTACAATTGTTAACTGTCGTCTAACATTTAACTTTCCAAGCATAACTTGTTGTCTTTACACATTCTTATCTTTCTCATTGCCTCGCTTCTCACGTTTTACAACTAAAGATCGGCATAGTTAAGTACCTTTTTAACATATTGAATATTGTACTCATATCTAGACTTTAGGTTCTTCGTCAAAATTTTATTTTTTGCTTTCGTTTCTAAAATCTTAACTCTAAGTCATATATCTTGAATCCCCCAACAATGGGTCGGGTATTTATTCTATTATTATTCTAACTCGTCCTTTGGATGACGTTCTAAAGTCAACTTTATTCTCAGGTTACCTTGGAAAAAAATATTTAGATCGGTTCTTTGTATGTAACATTGGAGCTTAGATTTTGCACAGCTTATACCTGAATACTGTGAGGAAAGCTCAACAGAATGAAAGAAAACACTGAATTATACTGAATAATTTCTACATTAAACATCTTCTATTAACTCTTTCAAATACAGGCTAATTATCTTTTATCGTAAAGCTTAGACATTGCATGCTGTTTTTTTACTTTGCAAAAAGTTTCCATCTAACCAAGTCTTTTTGATCTTGTTTTGAGAGAGCAGATTTTCTAAGTTAATTCATCTTTATTAAGACAAGATTTTACTGAAAGTAAGTGCAATAATCTATTAGTGCAGTGGAACAATTTCAATTCTTTTTTAATATTAATTATTAGAGGCTTATCTGGTATATCTAGTGGCAAACTACATTAATCTCACTGTAATCTTGGAATTAATCTAGATTAATCTAGAATAAACTGGCTCATTCTGAATTCCACCAAAGACATGCATGATTTGTGTGTGCTGCCAGTAATGATTTCAAGAAGTCTTACCAAGTGCATTTTTTTTTAAATAATTAAAGTCATATTCATTAAATTACAACAGGTGTTTGATAAGTCTTATTGGTTAGAATAAAAGTACCTTTGGGAAATTAGAACATTGCAGGAGGTTTTAAACACATTTTTCAGTGACTCCACAGTTTCTTTCCCAGAGCTCGCCTCACCCCACCCCCCCGTAGACATATAACAGTTCATTTTATGACCGATGTCCATTTATAGCCTGGTCTGGTATGGGCTGCACTTCATGTAAATACAACATGTCTTTTCCCTATGTACATATGTTCATACTTCTCTTTACGGATGTTCTTCAGCTGCTATAAGTGATCCACTTTTCCCCATGATGTGCTTTGTGATTTCTATGCATGATTTGTTATTCTATCTTTTTTCTGTCTTCCATTCATTTTCATTGTGACCAAAATGATTTATGGGTCCATGATGAATAGATAAAGAACAGAAACCAACATCCCTCTGAGAAATCAGTCTTTATAATCAATTTCACTTACCTGAGTTATTGAAACAAATGTACTTTTCTGTAGTGTTTGAATTACAGGATTTCAACCTTGTACAGTTGGTGGGCATCTTAAGAGTAATAAAGAAAGAAAGTTTAAAATGAATCCTCTCTTCCTGTGGAAGGCATGCTCCAAATGCAAGGGAAACAGTCTTATACCTACCTTACCGCAATGCTCAGCACAGCGTGCCAAAGATAAGACCCCCTCATCATGATTTAAGACGGTGTTAATGTTGTGGGTGTTTCCCTTTCTTTGCATGATATAATCCTAACAAAAGTGTTGTTCTCAGGAAACTGGTAATTTCTTTGATATAAACACACCAGAGCCGGCTCTAGGTTCTTCGGTGCCCAACAGAGTGCCTCTTTGCTACCCCCTCCAACTAAGAAGGCCCTCTTCACAAAAAGCAACTCTACAGCTATGCCATAATTTATATCATTTTGTATTTTAAATACTTTTTAAAGACAACATCCTGAAGAATATATATATATATATATATATATATATATATATATATATATATATATATATATATATATATATTCACACTCTAACCAAACATTTTAAATTGCATGCACATGTGTTGGGCGCAAAATCAAAAGCAATATAAAGCTGTACAATTAAAAGCAAAACCAAAATGTCAAGGTTAAGACAACAACTTAGAACAGCAACGCTAAAGAATAAATGTAAATTTGAAAGATAAGTAGCCAAAGGATATCAAAATAACCAAATGTTTTGCAAATGTCACAAGGGTGAAATACAACATCAAAACCAGCATAAAGCCACAGTATGAAAAGAAAAACTAAAATGTCAAGGTTAAGACAGTAACTCTGAAAGTGCAAACAATAACCAACAACTCGAAACACTAACTGTCATTGTAAAGAAATATATGCTTTATATCTTTGTCAACATTGCTATAAATAAAACTTTTAAACATTATAACACTATGTGTAATCAACGTAACCTTAAATAAGAGAGATCCCACCTGAAGGAAAACAAGTTTTAGTGTTTTAAGGTTAGGCTTAGGCCAAGTTGGGCTATTTCCATAAATCTAAAACAAAAACCATCCCTGACCTTCCCAGTTTTGCTCAAAATTTAACTCTTCTGGCCTTCCTAGAAGTAATGGCATTCAGGATGTCCTAATACGTATTTACATTTATTATATTAATTTTTTAATTCTGCAATATCGCACCTGGCTAGCAGATTGGCCGCACTTTTGAACACCGCCATGAACACACTTCCTGTGGATTCTTCTTCATTGGCATTAGGCAGGTTGTCCTTCCGGCCACCATACTGGGGACCAAATACAGGAATAGAAAACTAAAAATTGAAATAGTTTCAGTAAGAATCACACATTGATCACTGTTTCAGTAGAATCTTGGTTCCCAGCCCTAAATAAACACAACTTTGTAGTAATACTTCCTGGTGTGTCTTGAAGTCCTTTCTGACTTAATTCACTTTCTTCAACACTTGGCAGAAAAAGTTGATGTTCTGTGTCTGAAAACAATTTTTTTTAAACAAAAAAGGTGAAGAAAAAAAAGACCAAAACTACATTATTAAGAACTAGTATTAAGCGAAGGAGCAAAAAGACCCGTACATGGGAGGTTGAGATGTTTGTTGGAGCAGACTGAAGGAAGGGTCTCATTGGTTCTTTCTTAGACTAAATTAAATGGTTTGCTTCAAGTGTCAGGTTTTCTGTGTATCTCTAATTTCTTAAACTTCATTTATAACATTTGGATCAAGCAATTAGTTTATGTCTATTTGTTAGAAAGTTACGTCTAATCTATTTCATTTTTAAGCCGTGATCATTTCAATGTAAGAATTTTTATTTTCCATTTAAAGCTGTGCTGTATCGCCGTTATGTAGTGAAGCTTTTCAGTAACTCTACATTTTCTTGATTGGCAGGGAAGAGGAGCCCAAGTCTATCGGAGTCTTCCTCGTGATGCGACTACCTGGGCTGCTCAGTTTCAGAGAAACATGATTCGTTCTTCCCTTAGTGCCAATCATCCAATGGTCGACCAATGGCTTGACCAACAGGAACAGGTAGGATGTGAATCTAATACTTTACCTTAATAAAGATTGCATCCCAGTTTTCATATATACTTGCCAATAAGCCAAATTAATATAAAACTGAATGGCTTTCCATAACTCCTGATTTAATCAACTATTATTACCAAACTGATATTTGAATGGTAAGAGGTACAATAGAAAGACCCTTTGCAAATATCACTTAATAATGAACTTGATTAAACTTTGAAGGAACATTTCACACCACAGATCATAGATCAGCAGTTTGGTATGAGGCACTTCTTGGTAATTAACACTGAAACAGCTCAATTACCTTCTAGGAGAACCAATTGCTGCCAAAATCAAGTTTTAAATTCAAGTCACTTATCCTTGGCTATGGAGGGAGTTTTAGGTCTGCAATCAGCTAATTACACTCAGCAATGAAGCATTTTGACCTCTGCAGTCTTTTGAAGAACTTTCTGGCTTTTTTATTCCAGCAGAACAAAAGCCTCATGATTACATGATGAATATGCAAAGTTAATGAAATTTAAACCTGGTCCAATACATACTAGTAGGAAAGAAAAGGATCCCATCTTGTTTGTTTACTGGTAGCACTAATCTGGCTTTTGAAATGGTAAAAATGACAAATGGCCTATACTTATATAGTGCTTTTTCAAGTCAGGAGACTTGACCAAAGTACTTTACACTCATTCGGTCATTCACCCATTCACTCACACACTGATGGTGGCAAGCTACATTGTAGCCACAGCTGCCCTGGGGCTCACTGACAGAAGCAAGGGTGCCGTACGCTGGCGCCACCGGGCCCTCTGACCACCATCTGCAATGCAGGTGAAGTGTCCTACCCAAGGACACAACCACAATGAAAGTGTTGTCCACATATTACTTAGTAAAGATCATACAGTGGACATTTTAATTTCTAAATTACAACTCAATAGTTTGCCATGTTTCAGGCTTTTTGTTTAAAATGGTTTGGTTAGTTAGATGTAATAAAATTTCCTCATAAATGCACTTTCTACACATAACATGTTTTGCTGAATGTGTTTTCTAAATCTCAGCTTTTGTATTGTAAACTAGAGACTGACATTTTTTCGGGATTCCCGTGGAATGGGAGTCAGTATTAGTAACGATCACGTGATTGGGATGGTACAGGATTAAACATTAATGGGAGCAGACAGGAGCGGGAGCAAACCAATAATAACAACAAAAAAAAAACTAGGATCGATGCCAAAAAATAAAATAAAATAGAAAGAAAAAAAATCCAGTACTGGCGCCGCCATTTTGTAGTTTTTTTCCTTGAAGCCTACACTATAATGCGAGTCAAAAAAAACTACACGACCCAAAAACCATCAGTGCTTCCGCTCTGAGTTTTTCACCCGCGCTCAAAAACAACAAAAATGGGAGTGGTGCAGGAGCGGGAGTCATTCTGAATGGGAGCGGGAGTTATTTCACCAGGAGTGGGACGGGACAGGATTTAGATTTCTACTCTGGCCCGGGATCGGGACGGGACACCATTTTTTTCTGTGGGAGTGGGACGGGACAGGAGTGAAAATCCACTCCCGTGTCAGTCTCTATTGTAAACCTTATATCTTTGAATTGAAATTATATTAATAATTTTGTTGTAAGAATAAAAGAGAATTTCACCTGAATTTCCCCACGTATTACTCTATCCTTCTACTCTTACTATTTCAACATCAGACTAAATTTCAATTGAAACATTAATTGAGCAGCAAAATTCTGATATTTTGTCAATAATTCAATGAATGCAATAATAACATAACTGTCCAACAGTTGGTAACTGAGCAACATCTCACTTCTGTTTTCTGTGGTGATACATTTAGTGGAGTATCAGTGTAAAGTGTTGGTTATTGCAGGCTTGACTCTTCACTTCGCACCTCCTCGCTCTGTTGGTACTGTATGATTGAGTCAGTCTGTGACTGGTCCCTCTACTCCTCAATCTGTCAAAGGAGAGAAAATATGCTTCCTTTAAAAGTTATTAAAAGTGACAGAGCCTCTCAGCAGGGAGAGCAGAAATGACCTTGGGAGGTGTTAAAGTGCTGAGCTTGATGAGAAGAAGATTTCCCCCAGTTCCAGTGTCAGGCTCTTACTCTTCATTATTGGCTACCTGCTCTGACTTGTATGGAAAAATTAAGTGAAGTCAAAGAAAGGATGTGGGAAGATGAGTAATTCTAGAATCTGTTGAAAGTAAGAAGAGTCAAAATGAAAAAAATGTTTGATTGATATCTTAAATACAAAACCAAATCGTTTTTTCTCCCCTTGTCATTTCGCTGTATTCACTGTTGTTAGAAGCTGAGCTACTGTGACCAAATGGAAGATCAGTTAAAACTGAAAGTGGTCTATGTTGGTAAATTATAACTATTTTCCCTCCTCAAGTTTAAAAAAAAGGTTCCAACACACTTCATCACTCTCTGTCAAGGATTTATTGATGTAGCGTTTTGGTCGGGATGACCTTCATCAGACCTTCATAAGGTTATATCAGTTAATCCTTACAGTGATCCTTAGAGAAATACAGTTGGTGGGAACTTTCCTTTAAACATGTGGGCACGTTTTGGGCTACGCCCCCCTCCTACATTCCTATGCCGTCAGGTGTGCTTACATTTTCTGTTCCCTTTTGGAACCTAAGAAATTTCACTGCAAGTTTTATAAAAACATTATAAGCAAACAGCTAAACATTCAAATATTCAATATTAGAAAAAACGTTTTTTGATGTGCTACACTGGTACTAGATGCACTGAGAAATCTACTTTTGAATCTGACAAGCAAAAACTCAAGTATTTACCCACTCACACTGTACTGTACATCTAAAAACCAGGTCGGACTCAGCTCCACAGTTAGGTGGAGTACAAGATTAATATGAAGCTCATTAGAGTGAAATGTGCTGCCTTGGCAATTTGTGCAATTTTGTGCTGAAAGCCCTAAAAAGAAAACGCAGCTATGTATTTAGACAAAGATATAGCTGAGCAAACATGGCTACTATGGTCTGTCAATTTTAAAGAAAGAACTCCATTTCACTCCCTACCCCGCCATGCTTCTGTGTTTGAGAGTGTGAGAGGAAGAAGCAGAAGAAGAACCCTTGTTTGCACATGCCCACTGAGCGATTTGCCCACAACAAAACATCTTTGATTATCTCCCGACCTTATGAGTCCTGATCGAGAGATGGTCGAGAGAGGCTGATTGCCCCTCGTTACCCCATGTACACTACACAACACACGATGCACTACGAGGCTGAAATTCGGCCCGATCAAAAAACTAACGACTGGAAAATCGGCCCAACAAGGGCAAAAAATTGTACAGTGTATGCCTGGCTTAAAGCTGACTAATGAAAACCAGTCTCTATGTTCTCCAGCAGTGTAAGCATATAGCAGCATTACTGTAGGGATAGCTCAGGATAACCTGAGCCACTCTATAACTATAGTTATAAACAATTATATTTTTATTCAGTATATATTTTGTCTTTGTTAAAAGGGGGCTCATTTCTGTTAGACACAGGGTTACATAATGTCTTATAAAAAGCAACTTACTTCTCACTAAAATAATACTTTTAAAATAAAGATGATTAGTGTTAATTAAGATTAAAACTACTATTTTGAAATCTAGAGCTACTTGTCAACCTCACTGTATAAATTAATTGGTTCTGTTTTCAGTTCATTTTAGAGGCACATGCTTAATTGATCTTGATAGGTAACTGAAACAAAGGAAGTAAACGATAAATGGATGAATAAATTCAGAGCTTTTGTTATGTGTGTTTTTTTTCTTTACAGCGTTTATATTGCAGTAATAACTGGACTGGTACAGCAGAAATTATTTCCCTTCAACTTTCAAAAACATGCATCTGTTTTTTTTAAGTTTGAAGCCCTGCTAATCCACGATTAAGGTTTTGGCCTGAAACACCTAAGCAAATATGTTCTTATAAATATTAAAGATTATTATTTTAGGATAGAGGTTAAACCAGCAGAGTTCTGTAAATATTTAATGAATAACAGCAGGAATACCACAGCTTGAGAGCAGGCCTCCTCACGGTGGCTAATTCTTTTAGCTGGCTGTTTGTAATCTGACAGCTGCGCAACTAAGATGAGTCACTAAACACAAATCTGCTCATTAGAGGTGAAAGTTGATGTTTGGAAGCGGCATCTATTTTCACTCGCTCGAAGTCATGGTACCTGCCTTTACTTCCACACATGAAAGTTTAATACTTTCTCTTCTTTGTCTATTGGACGGACAAGCAGCACAGCAGTATATGATTTTGAGATGAATAGACAATCCACGGGTTAATTAAAAAGAACTGTGATCTACAGAACTGGCAGAGATAATGAGTCCACACACACATTCACATATATATAACAAGGTCTTAGGGAAGAAAAAACACCCCAATTAGCAGTTCTTTGTTTGTTGTGGATTATGTGTCTCCTTTAATTTTTCATTGTTATCCACAAGTAAAAATAGAAAGGGAAAAAAAGCGGAAAACAAAGAAACAATGTCAAAATTATTTTTATGAAACAACTGATCCTGTCTGAATGTTACAGGTTTATCCACAGTTGAGTTTTCCATCATGTCCCAACAGCTGCCATTAATCTTTTTCCTTTATTGTTCCACTGAGTCATTCTGCAACTTTTAACCAATATTTTTAAATAGATATTTTCGTTTCCTAGCTAATGCATGCAAAAGGGCTGGTCTTAACTCTTAAATTGAGTTTTATCTTTTGTTTTAAAATTGGGTTACATTTTTTCTCTGATATCTTTGAAGAAAAGTTATCAGTTAAATAATGTACCAGTAGCAGCGACTTAGAGACTTAGCAGGGGACTTACGAAAGCTAGGACTAAACGATACCATAAAAATACAAAAAAAAAAAAACTTCTAGATTCCAAAATAAAAGCTTATTTGAAATATACCATCTCTACTAACACATGTCAGAACATTCCCGGCACTTGTGAGAAATCTGGTTTACAAGTCTATGAGTCGTCTTGCCCTCTCTCAGTGCACCAAGATACCAGTCTGCT